ACTTGGAGGTAGAAGACACAGAATGGCAATTCTGAAGTAAGGAAATGACGATGTGCATCCCACCTTTAAGTCAATCACCTAATAAAAGACACCTGCCACCCTGGGAAGGCAGAGTAAACAATGGCGCTCAGACACCAGACTGGGACCTGCCAGCCTTAGCAGGGAGGGTCTCCTTTAATAGACTTAAACATAAGTTAAGACTGATTTGAGCCAAGCATCAAGAATGGATTTGGATATTTTGCTAATATGATCCTGTTACCAGTGCAGTACAATCCCAGCTGGCGAGAGATAGATAGACCCCAGACTACAAGGAACTCACTGGAACTCATTGGAATAATTTGAAGGGAGCACTGGTTTCTGTGGTACTAGACCGCAGACCACTGTGACTGAATAAATGTAGCTAAGTGTAAAAATACAGCATTTAATATTGGCAAGGACAACAAAAGTATATTTAATGTGGATGTGTCTCCTTACAGGAAGATTAATATTAAGATTTGGATCAAATGTTTGTCTCTACTTCATATCTCTCAGTTTATAGTTTCACATTTTTGTGTCTTTTGTATATTTTTTGATGTTCAGAAGTCACAAATACTGAATATAGTTTTTTGGGGGAAAGGAGCATTAGAGGTAGTGGAAGTGGAAGAAGAGCATGAATGAATCCATATCAGATTAATGTCTCAGAATAGACAAAAGAAACTGCTTGCTCAGCAAACATATGTTCTGAGCAGCCACCTTGTTTAACTTGACTTATTTCTAGGAGTCAGTGTTCTCTGCGGGTCGATGGTGTGTGAGTGTGTTTATCTGAAGGCGGCAGTCTTCAGTCTGTCCGGGGTCAGAGACAGAGACAAACGCCTCCCCCGGCCGGCTGTCAGCGCCTAGTCACTAATGATGCTGCAGCGCTGAGCTCAGCTAATTGACCAGACAGAGATGGATCGGATCAGGACCTTGTACTCTGCTGTGTCTGCTCGCTCCAGTGTGAGCGCGTGTGTTTGTGTGTGCGTTTTGATGTTTTTTGTTCACAGCTGCCTCCACACCGTGGACTGTATCTCCTAACAGGAACGTCCAACTTTGATGCATCACAGCAGGATGCAGGGAAACAGTACGGACAACCCTTTAAAGGCTCCTCAGGCATATCTTCGTATTTTCATCCACCATCTGCTGACAAAACTGCGAATGCTTCACTCGTACGTTCATAGAGGTAGTCAGTCCGCAAACTGTGGAGAACAAATAAACCTCGGGAGGTTATGAGCTTCCAGGATCAGGCAGTCAGTGCAGCTGGGTGTGAGATGTGTGTTTAAAGGCTCTGGTTGGCAGGGCTAACTGGCCTCTTAGCATCAAGTTTATTTTCACAGGGAGAGTATCACTGAAGGAATGACCTTGGTCCATTAATAACAGAGCCCTGTGTGTGTGTCTCTTTCACATTCACACAGAGAAAATGCTACATAAGAGCTCACACACACACACACACACACACACACACACACACACACACACACACACACACACACACACACACACACCTTAGATCATAGAGATTCTACTAAAGCCCTGTTCATTGTGCATTTGGCGCCGACTCAGTTTCAAGTAATAAAAATACGTTTTTAATAAAGCTGCGACCACAAAAAAAGGTGTTACAGTAAAACAAGTTTTTAATGCTTTTCTGGGATCCAAATTGAAAAGCTGCATTCTCTTAACTTTTCAATTTTACTGAAAAACCAGTTCAGTTTCAGGTCTTTCCCCTTTTGGCCCCGTTTGCACTTGGCATACAGTAAGCGTGTCTCTACTGTTGGCTCACAAAGCAGTCTGTTACCCTGGCAAGTTCCCACTCACTCTCCTTCTGTCTGCTTCAATGTGTCTTACTTTTGTTTTAGACTATTTTAAACATACTTTCTGTCAGTAAAATCCAAATGCAGTGACCGACATATTTAAACCACATGCATAACTAAATGTTAGTGCGTTTTGTTTCTGTTGGAGAGTTTGGATATAAGATGCAAAGAGCACAACACGATTAGTTCAGCTCCAGTGTTGTTTTTTGTTTTGTTTGCGGTGGCGTGAGGCAGAGGAAATACAAGAGGGAAAGAAAGTCTGTTAGGGTTTCAACCGATGTTTACAAGGTTGCATGTGCGGCTTGGCAGACTTATTGCCTGGATTTAAGCATGCAGTTTCAATGGTCTAGCCTTAGCCACCGGCTGCATGCTTAAATGTGTGCGCAGAATCTCCCTTTGACTTTTGGATAACTTCAGAACTCCATAATAAATGTCAGATTAGGTCGAATAACTGATTTGTTTTTCAGAACCCTCATTAAAAGTTGTAACACTTTTGCCTCGATCCTTTTGCTCGTTCTCGAAAATGCACCCTCACTTTAAAATGGGAAAAGATAACCTTCTCTTTGTGACCTTTGCTCATCTCTCCCTCATGTTCCTCGGAGATTATTGCACCAGAAGCATCAAAGAAAATCCAGAAAGGGTTTGTAAACTCACTCAACTCTGTGTGAGATTTCTGTGCAAAAGAGAGAAAAGCTTAACAAGTGCTGGCTGATGTCAGCCTCTGGTCTGCTGAATTCTCTGCAGGGGTCTTTCTCTAATGAAGAACTCTGAGTCTGTCACTGATTGGAACCCAGTGCAACACGGGGTAAAAAGATCAGATGCGTTCACACATTTTTTGATCCCCCTCTCACTGGGGCAATTAGCCCAGTAAGCTCAAACAAATAGGGGATACAATGAACCGTGTCCATCAGGGGCCACTCATTAACTGTGATGAAGTTATTGTTGGCCAGCAGAGTGATGGAGGCACTCTTGGGGCATCCCAGTCATCCTCACTCTTCAGGTCTGCATGCGTGCACGCCACAGGCTTTGTAGTTAAGTGATACTGTCTGAGGGGATGCTAAAGAAAAAAAGGGGTCTTGAAGATTTCAATATTTGTTGTTGCAAGACCGAGAGACAGAGAAAGTGTGCAAGAGGTGTGTGGGAGGCTATAGTTCTTGTGCCAAAGCCGGCATAATGCTTCATACAATAGCTCGAGTGTGGGTGAGGGGATCTTGGCGCTTGAATGTTCTTTACTTTAGAGGGAAAAGACGCGCTGTCAGGAGGGGAGGAGGGAGAGCTAGATTTCTTATCCTGAGCCCCCCCCCACACCCCCACCTCCTACCTTTGTAATTGAATGCAGCCATCTATATGAAGTGGGCTTCACAGAGAAAAGCCCGCAGGATGTGCATGCACATAGACACGTCTCTTTGTCTCCTCTGCCTTCCTCCGTGTAGACTGAAGTACGCTGCAGAAGAGTGAAGCAGACATCGAAATGTCCTCGTCTCTGTGCAAGGTTTATGCTGTTACTGAGGCATGGAGGAGTTTTCTACAATCCGGAGGTCATGCCATAACATTACATGATTTGAATCCATCTACACTTGTAATCCTCTGAGAAATACCCAGAACCCAAAACAGTGAAATCATGAGCACAGAGGTCGAGGAGAGGCGGGGCCGGGGTATTATTGGAGCAGTCTCACTTTACCCTAAACCATGTGCTCTGTGTACTTTTCATACTCCTCTTTTGCCCTTTCACTCTCCCCTCTTTGGGTAATATCTGAACTCATTATGCTTTTTACGTCTCAGGTTTCAAAACGTTCATTCTTCCTTCATGACAGTAAGCGCTCTATTTTCCTTTTCCGGGCCTGCAGTGCATAGAGACAGATTATGACATCTCGATGCTACAAAACGCGAAGCTGTTTAAGAAAAATGCCGTTGTCCTACTTCACCTCTGTGTTGCAGGTGCTATTTCATGGCTTCGTTCAGTGTAGTACTTGGCGTCGACTGTGGCCGCTGGCCACTGAATGGAAAGGCATGCTTCCTGGTGGCTAATGAGGTGCTGAACCCAGCCTCTTGTTTGTATCAGGAGCACCTGGGCCAACCACAGCCAGCCCAGGCCAGACAATGGAGTCAGTCTAGCATTTCCACAGAGGTCTGCCCATTCAAATCATCTACAACCCTGGGACACAAACTCCCACACTTCATAAAATGAAGGCAAAACAGAATGCGGACCGAGACTGCCCCATTCTTTTTCAACAAGGAAACTATTGTTTGTCTTCACACGCCCTCTTTCCCAGGCCTTGCGATGCTATCCTCCTTAAAGGAACGAGGCAAAAGCAAAACAATTCAGCTGAAATGCAGCACAGTGTTTGTTCTTTGGAAATGTAACACATACAAGAGCTGCAACTGTCACTGTTAATTTCCCTTTCTGAGCTCTGTCTGGCTCACCTGGAGGACAGAAACAGCACAGAGGTCATTTTCAATTTCATGTATGTGAAACATCTTGATAGAACCCACAACACAGTCTGTAACTGAATTCTTGGAGTGATGACATTAGGTTAAACACAAAATTGAATGCTGAATCCTACAGTTTGGCGGTGAGAATCAGAGATGAGCGTTGTCCTAGTCCAGGGTTAGACAACTCCAGGCCTCAAGCACTGGTGTCCTGCAGGTTTTAGATCTCACCCTGGGCCAACATACCTGAATCAAATGATTAGTTCATTACCAGGCCTCTGGAGAACTTCAAGAGATGGTGAGTAGGTAATTTAGCAATTTGAATCAGCCATGTTGGATCAAGGATGCATCTAAAATCTGCAGGACACCGGCACTTGAGGCCTGGAGTTGCCTACTCCTGTCTTAGTCTCTTTACTTAAACCAGATGATGATGTATGGTTTCCTTTTCTTTCCCAAGCAATCATTTTAGCTCTAATGCCACTGGTAAACTAGAAAATACACTCACTAACCACCTTTGTGCAAAGGTACTGCTTATAAGGTTGGGGAAACCTGCAGTCAGCTGAGACTGAAGGAGTCACTGGGATGAGTGGCGAAACGTTTCCCACTGAAAATGCTACGTCCAGATGAACAGAATTAACCTTTTGGGATCTAAATATTATGTTGTCAAGCTCAGGAAATTATAAAAACTTCAAATGCAAAACACAGAACTGACATTTATTCCACTTTGTCTTTTGGTTTAAACAGATGCAGGAAACCGGCTTGTAGCTCAAGAGGCATTAAGAAAACCATCTACTCTACGCCGGCCACCTGCACGCACGGGAGAAGCAATCTCCAGTAAGTAACTGTGAATACGATATTATTTTGACTAGACGGCAATTCTCATCTCAGTTTTATTCTTGTAATGCCAAACCACAACAAAATTAATCTCAGGATGCATAACACAGTGAGGAAAAGATCTTTTAGGTACAAAGGTAGGGAGATGGTTTAAGTAAGAACTTGGTAATTTAGTTGGTAACAGAGGGAAGACAACAGCTCCCGTTTAGGAGGTAAAAACCTCACAACCAGGCCCAGGGTGGAAAACAAAGATATAACAATAACAATCAATAGCAGAGTGATGGGGTCAGCACATTGCACATGATACCTATAGAGGACAAAGAACAAACCGCAGGAGAAAGAAGGCACAAAGCTAATGACATTTCATCACACGGGGAGTGAAAAGAGTAAAAGAGCAGTGCTCAGTGGATCATGTGAGGTCAACCAGCAGCTTGAGCCTTTGGAAGCATAATTGGGGATGATTCAGGGTCACCTGATCCAGCTCTCACTATAAGCTTTATCAAAGAAAAAGTTTAAGCCTAATCCTAAAAGTAGGTATGCCACATCTTTACATGTCTGATTCCTCCAACTAAAATCTGTTTTTCAGATTGTCTCAACTGCAGTCGAATCACTGCTATGAGCGACAGGCTGAACACGCTGGAGGAGAAGGTGAAGACTTTTACTTGTTCAGACGCAGCATGTGAAACGCTGAGGAACGTGACTGGCCTACATTAAACAATCGTATTGTTTTAATTACCTGCGCTTGTTTTATGTTTTCCTGCACCAGGTCCAATTACTCACAGCTCCGGCCTCCATATCGCATCGCCACCTTCAGGGTAAAGTGGGAATTGCTCCAGAGACCTCGTTACTGATGGGGGCTGTGCCCGCTCAGGGAGCTCCTGGTGAGCAGGGACCTGCAGGTAGGTGTATCCTGCTCTCACGTGTCAAGTTTAGGCATTTCCATTTAGTTCCGTCAACGTTTACGTTTAATAATTAAGTCAGAAATCATTCCTTGCAGCTTTTCCTGCTCGCTACCTGCACACCTCTGCTCGTATCCTGTTTCACCCAATGCACACGCACTTATTTCCTTTAACAAAAGTCAGAGTGCAGCTCTCTTTCAGCTCTGTGAGCGTCCTCTCCTTTCCTGGAGTTGAGCCCAGCACTGGCTGCAGCTAAAGACGCAGTCATCAGTGTTGTTATACCATCAGCAAGAGAAAGATTTGATTTACTGGACTTTCAAATTAAAGACTTTTATTTGTCTTAAATGAGACAAACCTGGAGAAATTGAGTGCTGTTTGGTCTACCGCTCTGGCTGAGTTACTCCCCAGTGCTCATCCACTGCTCCCTGTGTCAAAGAAAAAGCTCCCTGATCCATTTGTAAATCAGAAATATAAAACATCTTTCTGAACCAGTTCCTTCTCCCCACAGGATAAACCATTTCTAAACCAGCACCCTGTGAGTTTTCCTCTGGTGCCACCTTCAGGCCAAAGTGCACTCTTATGTAATGCATAGTGAAGGCTTGGTTTAGATTTTCCTCATTCTTCCTGTTCTTCAGCACCACTATGTGTGGGGTGTTGCTTAACTGTTCTGGTGGAGGTTCTGCTGAATAAGACCTTAATAGATTCTGATATAAATGAAATCATTTAATGTCTTTACGCTGTTCTCTGCAGGTTTTATACGACTGTTTCCAATAATGGAAGAGCTGCAAATGAAATCTGATGTGTAAAATTGCTTCCTTTTAATAAAGTATTCCCAAAATCACTACAACCAAAGCTTTACATAAACCCCAAGAGTTGCCTAGGTAAGGGAAATCAGTTTCCTGTGTTAGAATTAACTAGCCCTTTAAAATGTATATAAAATTGGCACTTTAAAAATGTTTTATTTTCTAGCTAAAACATTTAATGAGCCCTAATACTGACCTATAAACACAATGACACATTCTTCCTGTGACTGTTTGCACCTCATCCTTTGGTGGATTATACTTGGATTGTTTTTATCAAACCTCTCCTGTTTTAATTTCAGGTCCTCAGGGTGAAAAGGGAAGAGATGGGCTTCCTGGCAGAGATGGTAAATTGTAACTTTCAGTTGATGTAAAACTACTTAAGATGTAAACCAGTTAGGGCTTTGCGATTACTCATGGCTGTTTCCTTCTCTTAGGGAAGCCAGGGTCTCAAGGGCTGCCAGGTCCTATTGGGCCTCGAGGTGGGGCCGGGGCAAGGGGCCCGTCTGGAGCCCCTGGATCAAAAGGATCCCCTGGACCAGCAGGTAACGGTGGACTCAAGGAAAAGGTCTTTGTTAGCAGAGATAAGAGTAACAAATAAACCTCGTCCTGTTGTAAAGTTGCATGTGTGCCACTAAGAGAGAGGGTATGTCAGATCAGCTGTTTAGTTATTGCCTATCTAGTCACTATTGTCTGTGGAACAATGGCTAACAAGAGGCCAAAGGGCTATGAAAACAACAGGAGAGTATCTCCTCCTGACCTGTGATGTCCATATCCAGAGCGTTTGTCTTTCCCTCAAACCTCTCAGTCGGCGTGCAGACCCTCCAGCACTAAATGCTGGGACAATCCAACCCCCCTTGAGGCCTGCTGGTAACTTACTGGAATTTGAGTATTTTGCTGGTTGGCTTTGAAAATCATAGGTTTCTAAAAAGTGCATGCTCCAGAAGCAAAGTAGCAAAGTATTTGTTTTCTGACTGTATATAAACTCCCCAACATGTGTTGCTTTTCATGGTCGGCAGCCAGAACAGACACGGGATCATAAATCTGTTCCACAGATTCAGAGTTCAGTTGTTATGTACAAATAATAAATGACCTGCGGGGAAAAACGTAAATCCGGAGGCAGCTGTGACTTGAATAATGAATAAAGTAAATGGCGGTCTATAAGTGTGTCACAACATCTGCTCTTGCTATAAGCTGTTATTCCTCTGCTGTGGATCGTGAAGGGAGTGCCTCTCCTCTCAGGCTAACATGTGACCCCTGCTCTCTGCCTGCTGCTGGGTAAAGATGAGATTTGGAGCAAACGCTGAACTACAAACCCACCATGTGACTTCAATTGAAATGAACACAAGCGATACGTATACGAAATCCCAGAGCCTTATGATTTCCATATGCCCCTTTGGTGTTGGTGTTTTTCTATCTCCATTACTTCATAGGTATCCAAAAGCAGCGCTGTGGTTTTCTTATTTTACTGTACTGATTTTTATTTTTGTTTTTTTAACACTCAAAGAGAAAGATAAACACAGGCCTGGAATGCATCCAGTGTCATGCTAAATGTAGATAAATATGTTTCTTAAGCCAGAGGTTGTGGGAAAAATCAAAAGTGAACAGCTGTAGTTAGGAGAAGTGATGTTGTATGATATGATACGAGCCCTGATAACTTACAGGAGAGTCGTATTAAAATGCTGACTAATATTTTGCCATATCATCCCATAGTTGCTCTGGGGAACCATTATCCTAGAAGAAAAACTGAAATTGTTTTCCCTAATATGTCACAAAGGCTTTAAAGAGCTGCTTTTTCTGGCCCTCTGAACACTGTGCTGCATCTTGCAGCTTGCGATCTTCATGAAGTAGCCAAAGCAGCTGGTTTTGCTGCTGTTTCTTTACTGCGATCAGTAAAAATGTCAAATCAGATGCAATATATTATGCTGAAAATCTGTAAATAATGAAATGTCATTTAGTATATATACAAAAAAGGTGGTGGAGGGCGAGAGGTTGTGTTCAGCATACAGCCTGACCTCAGAGGAATCCAAACAATGAGGTCAGATGTCACTGTGGTGCTTTTTTCCATCTTCAAAATAACGCTTGGGGGTGACGAGGGTCCCTTTTGCTTATGCGCACTTACAGATTTGCCATTTTTGTGTATGTAGAGAGCATTTAATTTACTGTGAACCAGTCCAAGCAACACTTTGCAGAGTTTATTGTGTTTATTTGAATTTCCCATTGTAAAGATGCCAGCACTGGTAAATTAAAGACCATCTTCTAGTTAACTATAGACAAAAGAAAGTTTATACACCTCTCCTGTTCAGTCTAGCTCCTGATCTTACTCCACATGTAGACACAGACACACACTCACTCCTAAGAGACACTATGTTGCATCACTCAACACTTTATCTAATCTTTTTCCTCTCTGTTGTTTGTCCTCTTGTCGTCACATAAGCCACAGTCATTTATCATTCTGCCATGAGCTGTGCCTCTTCAGAGGAAACTCAGGTCTTATTTCGCTGTGACACATCCCTGCTGTACAGAACGTCTGTCACCATGGTGATTTTTCTGTCATGCCTACTCCCAGGCCCCCGTGGTCCAACAGGACTGCCAGGAGGGAGAGGTCTTCCAGGCCCGCCTGGCCCACCGGGGCCTCCGGGCCCTGCAGGTTCCCCAGCACCAGCCAGTGCCCGCATCCCAGAACCAGACCACAGTAAGACCCTGCGCAACTAAGAGACCTCATGTAGTTATTATGACACTAATTCACTACAAACATTTAAAATACCCATTTAGGTTTTTGATAAATCGAATCATTTCACGCTGTTAAGGAGCAAAGTTCAAATTCAGTTTAGTAGAACTAGTAAAAAAATATTTTTTTATTCTAAACTTTTTTTACACCTTTTCGCTTAACTGCTGTTAACTGCTGTGCTACTACCTAGTAATGTAGCCATCAGCTGTCAGCCTCAAGCAAAGATGGGGATTTGGGGTACAACACTTCTATTTAGCTCCATAAACCCCAATTTATTTTTTATTTTCAGTCTCTTTATTGTCAAACTAAAGCATCTCCATCTCAAAGGACGTCAGCTGTTAGGACTTTTTAAAAACAGCCCACTTCCGCTTGATTTGCTGTATATTCCATTTAAATGTGACTTTATTCCTTTTTGTTTATAAAAATTGGTTCTGCTCTTTTACTTTGGTTCCAGTTATGACTTTTCATAACCTATTATTAACGGACCTAGATGTCCAAATGGTAAATAGGTCCATGTCAGATGTCACCACCTTCTCGCATGAATTGGTGTGTTTTTGAGCCAAACCAGTCACTGTTACTCCACGTCCAAACAAAATCAGCTTGTGTACGCACACAGATTCAGGCAGGGTGACATCAATTTTAAAGACTTCCAGCTTGACTCTTTAAACTAATGTTCACGTGTCTATAGCAGCCTTACAAAAGAAACAAAGAGAATAGGAAACAGGCAAGATGACGTTAATCCTTTAACTGCTACTTGCTCCTTGTTGTCTACCAGCCAAGTAGGACAGAATCAAAGAGTGTTAAATGGAGTCAGAGACAGAGAGATTGACACAGACTTCACATGCTGGGATGAGAACCTGTCCACCCCTGATGTCACTCAACAGCTTCCAGATGTAGGTCGCTCAGGCAGCTGAGGGAAGAGGTGGGGGTGGAGGGGGTGACAGACAGATGGGGGCCCACACCAGCTCTTCCAAGGTCAGCACACAGGCGGGTTTTATACATGGGTTCAGTGGTAAAAACAAAATATGCAGCACACCCGTTTGCAGGCTCCGGGTTCCTGTGTGGAGACGCAGGCTAGAGGTTGGCATGATTATTTCCGAAACTGTGGGTCATTTCTTTCACATCAAAGTAACAGCAGGGAACATAAGACGGGGGTTCTGTGCAGAGCTTCCTTTGGAAAACACTGGATTATTTGGCTTCGACATCTGCATCAGGATGTTGGAATTCCCGTCTGCAGGACTGGAGAGGGTTCCTAAACCAGCGGCCAACACGTAGTACTTAAGAACAGGACTGTTTAAAAGCATGACCTCAGTGTTTGTTAGTGGTCGAGCAGATTTTCATGTTACGTCAAGCCACAGATTCCAGTTTGTTGTAAGCAGGAAATGAAGAGTATCAGATACAAAAAAGCAGCCCTGATTTTTTTTAGTGGTGTGCAACAAGAATCAGGCAGCTGAAGGATGTTTCTGGGTTCTCTTCCTCCACCTTCTCTCTAATTCTCCTGAGGCCTCATGCTGTGATTGGACCTATGTTTCCTGACAGTATAAAATGACCCAACAAACGTACATTTCCTCTAACATTCACACATGAACCACCCTCTTCAACTGGCCCTTCCTCTTCGAACACATGTGGCTGTGCATGCACAGTCAGTGCTGTTCAACAGTGGAAACTTTTTTGTTATGTCATGTTGAACTTTTATACGTATCAAACTACAGTTTAGTATATTTTACTGCCCTGGCGAAGTCGTGAGATTGAGTTTGACTGTTTATTGGAGTACACTGCCCTCTAGAGGTAAGGCTGATTTGTCACACAAAAACTTAACCATCCACTAAGATGCCTAACAGGGTGCATGTAGTTGGATCAAGAAGTTCATGTTTCTTATTATGAGATATTTTGCCATTTTGCTTCTTTATGAAATGTTGGTGAATGACCAATTTCTTATTTGGCACAGGCAAAATATGGCTCGCTTATCGAGCTTGGCTACCAAATTAGAACCTAATCAAAAACAGCACCATATGGAAATATAACCAAAATATAATTTGTTCTGTGGAGCTCATTGGGAGGACAGATGATGTTACTCATATCACAAGTCTCCTTTTATAGAATGAAACGCATGACAAATAAATTCAACTCAGTATTATAACTGAGGAAAATAAATTAATGGTATTTTAAGAGTTTGTTTAGATGGTGAAGCTACAAAAGTGGATTTTTTTCTGCTTAAAGGAACTCATTTTAACTTTACCAATAGCTTCTGCTTTCCTTTAAACACACGTGCATTTTCTGTTTCAACTTCCAGATCGTGGAAAAGACCCTTTCTTCACCAACACCTTCCACGACTCTCGAGGGATACCTGTTCCAGGACCTCAGGGGCCTCCGGGACCTATTGGTGAGCATTAAACACTCTTAACAGCTTTATTAAAAAATATTAAACTACAGGACTGAATTCAAAGACACCACAAAAATCAAAGTGAAAAATTATGCAGCAGGTTAGTAGATTTTGCCAAAATATCAACAATAGTAGTTTGTATGGCCCCCCACGTGCTTGTATGCATGCCTGAAAACACTGCGGCTGCTAATGAGAAGACAGACGAGGTCCTGGGGGATCTCCCCCGTCTTCTGCACCAGGGGATCACTGAGGTGCAACGTGGGACAAAAAACATTTAGGTTTAGGTCAGGCCAGTGTGCAGGGCTCAGTCAATGGTATCAGTTCTTTTATTCTTTTATCCTCTCCGAACTGCCTGCATACTTCCCCTACATGAGGTCATTGTAGTACACCAGGAGGAACCCGGGAATCACTGTGTCAGTGTAGGGTCTGACAGTGGGTCATAGGATTTCATCCTGATACCTAATGGCATTCAGGGTGTTGTTGCCTAGCCTGTAGAGGTCTGTACATCCCTCCATGGATATACCTCCTCAGCTCATCACTGAGCCACTACCAAACTGGTGCAATGTTACAGGCAGTAAATGTTTTTCATTCTTAACCAGATGTCCAGAAAGAAAGAAATATCCTTCAAAAACAAGTCCACACACTGATGACTACACTTAGGTGTGGTCACAACTCTGTATACACTCTAAACAAACTCAAATATGCAAAATGAACACAGCTCCTTTGCATGTCTTACAGTTTGAATGAACAAACATCTTGTGCAGTATCTCACTGTGTTATGATCTTTTTCTGTGTTATTATATTTTTATTGTGTACAGTTTGGACACTGACACAAGTTTTGGTTTTCTACCTGTTTTCGGAAACATTCTATAATTCTAATAATAATTCTAATTATACTTCTATAATGGACATGGACAAAATGTGTAGACGCTTTCATTTCAGTTTTCTTTTAAGGGTATACGAAGCCAAAGCTCTCCATGCAGGCTGCACAAGCCATCTTTAAGCTGCGAAAACAGAAAAACCTATCCGAAAAACTGCCACAATGGCAGGAGAGGCAAAATCTATAGTTTGGTACATAATGAGAAAGAGAGAAAGCACTGGTGAACTCAGCAATGCAAAAAGACCTGGACGTCCACAGAAGACAATAGTGGTGGATGATTGCAGAATTATTTGCAGGGTAATGATAAACTCCTTCACAACAACAAGTGAACAACACTATCCAGGAGGCAGACATTTTGATATCCAAGTCTACCATACAGAGAAGACTGCACGAAGACTGCGTGACATCCAAAGCAACCCAATAGTTTATTAAAGCAAAGAAGTGGAATATTGTTGAATGCCCAAGTCAGTCACCTGATCTTAAAGAAATTAGGCATGCATTTCATTTGTTGAAGATGAAACTTCGGACAGAAAGGCCCACAAACAAACAAACAGAAACTTAAAGCTACTGCAGTAAAGGCCTGGCAGGACATGAAAAAGGAGGAATCCCAGCATCATGGTGATGTCCATGAGTTCTAGACTTCAGGCTGTCATTGATGAATGACTGAGCTTTCAGTTATTAAATATGTCCAATTACTTTGAGCCCCTATAATGAAGGGATTGAGTTAGAAATGCTTTAGTTCCTCACATTTTTATGCAATCTTTTTATTCAACAAACTGAATTAAAGCTGGAAGTCTGCACTTTAACTGCATCTGAGTTGTTTCATTTAAAAGTCAATGATTGTCTCTGTCCATATTTTTATGGACCTAACTGTATATACTGATGCCTGTCAGTGATGCTTTTTATATTTATTTCTTTTAATATGCTTTTCATAATCTCCACTGATCTTTCTTCTCCATTTTGAAGATAAAGGCTTTGATAACATAAACTTATGAACACCTACAGGTTCTGTGTGTCACTATGTCAGGTTAAAAAGGTGTAAAACACAAAACTCTTGTGCTAATATAAATCTTTTAATCTGTTTTTCAGGTCCCCCAGGTCCTAAAGGCCCGGTAGGACCTCCTGGTCCAGCAGGACAAAATGTAAGTTTGCTCACAGCACAGCAGTGCACGATAGTCGCTGCATTAGATTTGTTTTTGTACAAATTTATCTGTGTCATTTTCAATTTCCTCTCTGCCTCAAAACAGGGAAAACCTGGAGTGCCTGGAACGCAGGGCCCCGTGGGGCCAAAGGGAGAACGTGGGGAGAGAGTGAGTAAACTTTGGCTTAGATTATTGATTTGTTGGATGGAGGCACAGCGCATGTTAATTACATTTTTGAAAATATAAAAAGCTTAGCTAAAAGACAAGTTTGTAGACATATTCAGAGAAAAGTAAAAAAGCACATGCAGTGCAGTGCGGTACAGTAAGACAATATTAGTTTATTATTAATATTTATTAACATGTTCTCAATGCAGTTAAAGAACATAATATATGCAAGACAATCAGATGATTCAATAAGCAAGTACATGTTTATTTAGATTTATATGTGCGGTGCTTAATGTCTTCAGACTTTTATATCTCATACAACGATCAACCCATAAATATGTCACTTTGTGCGTTCTTCTCTTGCAATAATGATAATAATATAAATATTAAAAACACAAAGAATTAACATTTTATCTTCATGGTTATGTGTTCCTCATCATAATCCCCATCATTCAGAAACTACTTGAACCACTTTTAGCAGTAATAACTTGAAGCAACTGTAATCAGCGTGAAGAATTTTGGCTCACTGTTATTTTGTTGATGCACAGCTCTCTTAAGGCCCCGTCACAGCATCTGAATCAGGTTTTTGACTTTGTCTGGTTCATTGCAACACAACGATTCTTTTCTCTTCCAGCCATTCTGTTTCAGATTTTCTTCGCTTCTCGGTTTTGTCTTGCTTCTGAATTTGGATTTGTTTTTGTTACATAAATAGTGATAGAATGTAATCAGGACTATACAATGATGATTTTTTTTTCTGCTATGCTCTAATATGTAAAACCTTAGAGGTGAGAGAGGATGTACTTTCTTTTTCACAACCATAATGTTAATGAGAACTATCGAAGGGGAAAAAGCTTTAGTTTGTTTTTTTGGTTTTTTTAAGGGACTCTTTCGAAAGATTTAGCTGTTTTTTCTTTGTTTGACAACTTAATGACACAAGTCTTTGATTTTTCAGGGACCTTCAGGTTACCCAGGAGAGAGGGGCTTGAGCGGCGAGCCGGTAAGCCACCTCTGCATGTGGAAAAGGGGAGAATATCAACACCCTGTCATATTGGGTTATTTTAGTATAAACTACATTCACCAGCAGCACTGTAAACCACATTGACCAACAAAGCTGCAATCAGAGAGAGAATGTGCTCTTTCTTTTGATGTGAACTGCTGCATCACACCAATTTTTCTGTTAACATTTCTTCACAGGGAGCGCCAGGACCAAAAGGAGAACCGGGAGAGAAGGGATTGCCGGTAAGATGCCAGCTGCTGGTAGTTCACAGTTCAAATGGTGACACACAGCCTGAACAAGAAGTCGTAGTCAGGAGGTTTCAAAAGTTTTAATATTAGGCATGAAACGTATGCTTAATCCTTACATTTCTTTCACTTGTTTCTCATTTTACAAGAGCAATCCAAATGTAAGATATTTTTATTCATGTCATCATCTCTTCACTGTGTAGCCAAGTTCTCAGTTTATGCTTTGATCTGTTTGCAGTCACCATATTTGTGGTGGTGATTGACCACAAAGTGGTGATTGAGCAGCATCTTTTTTTCTCTCAGGCTCAGACTTTTCAGACTGTTGATTGTCACGTGGTCTCTGCTTTACTTTGTTGTTTATGTTTGATCATATATGACTGTATCGTTTGATCTGTGTGTGTTTGTACGTTAACGTGTTTTTGTTTGGTCCTCGGGGTGTGCTCTGGACTGCTGTCCTCTTGACCCTAAAGCTCCCTCTGCAAGCTGCTGTCCCCATGGCTACCTTTCACAGTCATCTTTTCAGCATCTGACTTTGGCATATACATCTAAAAATACAAAAACATACCAAGAGAACAGCTCGATGCGGTCATGTCCTTTTAAAGGCAAAATTCTTTATTATTCCATGTGAATTAAAACAAACTGATTTCACAGACTATCGAATATTCAGTGACTCACAGAAGAAATGTGCGAAATGTATATGCCAAATCACTCCATATGTGTCAGTGGTGGGTGGTGTTGGTTTAGAGGTGTTGATGTGGTGTGAGTGGAGTGGATACAGCTATCCCCTTTTCTCCCCCAATGCAACCTTGCATGAATTTGTCCTAAATTGCTATACTGAATAAACTATTCTCTTATCTGGATGTGTTAATCAACTAAAAGTATATCTAATGACTAATAACAGAGTGCGGTTAAAAACAGAAAAAAGGCAAAGTAGATGTAAACTTCCAAAGAGTGTCTGTGAGGCTGCATTAAAGCCAACAAGCATAATATGTTTACTGATTTTTAGGAGGTGCGGCTTATTGATAGATTAAACTTATGACGTGATTGTGATGCAGGATGAACGGTCAGAGGATCAAGACTCATCCTGAGGGGATTTTGAAAACCTGTATCGAGCATCATGGCGATTAACCAATAATGCTAAGATATTTTACTAAAACGACAAATGCTCGCCTCCAGCTCATTCAGGAGATGATTCACAAACTAGAATTTGTTCTCTGGAGACCATCAGTGTCTTAATAACAACGTCCTTTGTCCCAAATCTGACATAGTTTAATCTGAATCAGAAATGCTGCTGCCATCTCTAAAGTTACATTGTTTATAATAACTTTGCCTTTTTTCTTTAAACATAAGGTTGTATTAATTGCTGCATTTTGTAGTGGGAATCACCCAAATCATCAGCTATTGTCTGCACGCTCTCTTTTGTGATGTCTACACTTTTAGCTGTCTCTGTATGCTCTATATTTCTTTTTCATCTACTTGTGTTCTGTTTGAAGGTATGACTCGTGAATTGTTAGCTCATCCTTTAACAAAAGACAACAGACTTGAGAGTAAATCTAGTCTGGCTTCATTCTGTCAGGTGATGGTGGGTTACTGTTGTAACCACAGTGCTAAGAATGAAACTGTAGCGCTAAAGCAAACATATTTTCCTGGCTGAACTGCTGCCTGACAAAAAGATGCAGATGGCATGATCAAATGCATATCCTGGAACAGTGTTATGTCACCAGCATGATGCAGGTCCATAATGTGCATGCTGATGTTGCCCAGCCCAGCATGGCAGAGACTGACTATATATGGAAGCATGCTCCGAGAATGAGGGCGGCGTAGATAAATACAGGGAATGGATAATATCTGACAGTGCTGGGCAGATGTGTGGACTGTTTTAACCTTCTAACTGCTGGACTGTGTTGAGAAAAATGACTTGCACCTTGGCGAGCAGTTCTTTAGCTTGTGCTCCTTACCTTGACGGCTGTATCTATCTTCACAGGGGGACGGAATACATCAGATCAGAGAGGCGCTGAAGATCTTAGCCGAGAGGGTTTTAATCCTCGAGACTATGATCGGTATTCATGGTGAGTAGGAGGCCTGCGGCAGGGTCAGCTTTAGGCAGGGGTCAAAGGTGGGCGACTCAAACCCCCACTCTACCTACCGAGGGGTGGGAACAGTCACGAGCAGCCCCAGGACTCGGGCTCGTGTTTCCACACCCTCACACAGTCCCCCCCTGTCACTGCTCTCTGATAGGACATTAGCTTGCAGATGTTCCACAACTTGCAGGCAGACCTTGAGCTTCTGACTCGCAGGGTGACACTGCTGGAGGCTATCATCTGGCCAGGTAACGCTGAGACATCCTCACCCGCAGAACTGCTGGCCCCCATTTACCTTCTTGACAAGATCTAAAGTGTTAGAAGCTAAAAGCAAATTCTGATAATCAGTAACTGAACTACGAAATGTTGTTGTAGATGTGTTTTAAGAAATGCAATCCTTTAAATAAGCTGTTTTGGTACTATGACACATGTGAGCCTACAATCTTCTGCCAAGGTTTTACTTATAGATGTTTGTGGATTTTTCTCTTCTCACAACTTTAAGTTTGTCTCACTTGGTACACTTCTGAGCACCAATAATAATTAAAAAATATAAATATTTACCTAATATTAAAGAATTATCAGCTTGTTTCATAGTGAAGTAGAAAGACTCAGAGGTCTACACCCTGACAATAAAATGATTGAAAATAAAAATGTGCCAAACTGTCACTGGTTTTGGCTTTTCCAGTGTGATGAATTGGTGCTCTTCTTTTTTAAATTAGCTCATCTTTTGGACTCATTCTGGACCATTTGAAGGGTGCTGGAAAATTAAGATGGACATTTTTCCAACAAGTTTATAAGAAACACACAAAGCATATTAGTCAACAACATATTAGTCAGCTGCAGCTTGCCTAAAACAAGTTAAGAATCCACTTATAGGTTTGGATTAGGACTACAAAGTGCACACATACTGGTGGAGACGGAAGTGCCGTTCCAACTGCTGTCTTTCTTCAACAGAGCCTGATCTAGGGTCTGGGGATGGACCGTTTGGCACATCCTCCCCTAGTTTCTACAGAGATAAGCGATCAGGTTCAATTCCACATCGACTTGCTTCTCCTCTGTCCTCCGACACCAAGGTTCGAGGAAAGTAGCCACCCCCTGGCTCACCCTGAGGATCACAGGCGGGGGGAGAGGCTTGACTTCCCCTCCTATAAGTTTCATCAACACTCAACAGAGTTAGACGTTAACTGACACCCTCTCTGGGCTGTATCATCTAATATAGGATGGGGGACACCTCAGGGAAACTCCACTGGTACTCGACAATGCCCTGCTCCATCGGGAACCTGAGAACTAGTTCGAACCCCATCCATCGCCATAACCAAACAATTTACCTTTACACAATACTTCCAGCTGCTCTTTCTGTTTTTCATTTGTTTGGCTACAGAACTCCAAGCCTCACAATTAGGATGATGAAAAAATCTGAATCTTCTGTGGTGCTCCTCGAGCTACAAACGGTCCTGGAGAATAAAGGTCATTTAGAGTAATCATGTGAAAGAGAAGTCAGATGTGAGAAAAGTGACTGGATTTGAGTTTTTGTTGCTTTCACAATATAACTGCAACCTAAACAGAATTCATTATTTAAGCACATGGAGTCTGTACAGTTTGCGGGACACGACTACACAAACAAAACTCCTCCTATAGTATGTAATTTGTTATGCTTCTATCATATTGTTTAGCTCAATGTTATGTAGTGCACTAAAAAGATTAAGTGATCCGTTCACTAACTGAGATAAGTGCTGATAACGGTGATTTGTACTGTTCTGGTCCCTCCCCTCCTCCTCTAAAGTATGTACTGATAAAGCGTTTCGACATTTAAACTTGGTAAACGTGCACAAACATTTGCATCTTGTTTAAGCCTCCACATATTTAGAAACAGCCATAAATGATGTTGCAATCTGGAAACATGTTGAAAGGAAAACAGACCTCACAGGATATTTCATGATCTTTAGCACACACACACACACGCACACACACATATGGAGAAAATGGCAAAACTGTTACGTTAACTTGAATATACTTTTACCACTGTTGTGCTGGTAAACTGCTTATACTGTTATGATGAAAAGACTTTTTTTTCTGCATTTATTGTGAAACTATTTAAAATGAACTGTAGTTTATTTTGTATGCTGTTGTGTAACCATTTCATACTTTTAACTTTTTTCTTGCAAAATGTTTTACAGTGTTAATATAATCCTGTCTAGATGATCGGTGTAATAAAATAATGTCCACTGTTTTTTATTTTTTTATTTTATTTTTTTCTCTTTTTTACATGACACCAGTATTCATTAAACACTTTGATAAATAAAATGACATCCACTCTTTCCACCATACATTTATCTTTGCATATACAGAAAATCTAAACTCTGCATCTACACTCACGGCTGTAATTGTTGTTATCAATAAAATAGTTTTTCAATTAACCCATGGGGAACATACTGAAGCTCAGCAAAACCCAAGCATAACTTCGGTCCAGACTTGTGAGGCGAGTTAGGTGTTTGGTGGCAGTGGGCTCTTCCCCTTAGATACCACCACAGCTTGTTCTCCGATGCTGTCTTCTATAAGCAAGGAGATGGCGCCATCTAGCTGTTTTGATGCTGCTAGAGCCACAACAGCTTTTTCTGTGGGGAAGCCCATCTTCTCCAGCTGCTGAAGACTAGGAGGAAACTTTGTGTAAGTATATATAAAGTACTGTGCAAAAGTCTTGAGCCACCACTCACGACGCTGCGCACCGTGCTAAGTTTTCAGCTAATAGCTTTTGGGAATCACCTCATTGGTGCAAAACTATTTTATATTTGTCAAACTGTGTTTTCTTAGGGAGTTTTCAAAGATTCAAGCAAAAAAATTGAGCAAATGACAAATAATGTATTTTTGTGACGGGCTGCTAGTAACAAAGTGTCTAAGCACAACCTTTTATATGCTCGAATGATTGATAGGTCGGTGTTAAATGGTTTAAAAAAAACAAGAAAAAAGAAAAGCCATTCCTGGATTAAATAGAAAATACAGGGAAAAGCAGCCAATGTCAGAAGACCTTTAAACATTGCTCAAGACAACTTAAAAGAAAGTCTGGAAGCACACTGTAAAAACAAAGAGGGATGTCTCAAGACTTTTCCACAGTATTCTATGAGAAAATCGAGTAGTACTAGGTTTAAAAAAAAAAAAAATACATACACACACATCTGCATACTGACATAAAATTCAAGATATTAAGTTATTACTAACCGCAAAGAGGAAACCGATGATTTAGGAACCTCCACTTTTGCACCAGGATCATCGGGAGCATCCTGTAATGAGGCCAGTATCCCCGCTCTAAGCATCTGCTCCTCCAGCACCTCTGCCTCAGCAGTCACAGTAGACTCCTCCATTATCCAGGCAGGCAAAGGTTCAATCCATGAGCGGTGGTTTGAAGCAGAAGGTTGGTTCATTGGGACAGCAGCTGACTGATCTACGGGTATCGTCTGAGAAACTGGTTGAGATCTGTGACAACACACGAGGTTAAAATGTTCAGAATAAACACAGGTTAAGACCAATGAATGTTCATTGAGACTTGTGATGTGAACGAAATGAGTCACACCTGTGTGAGGTAGCGTAGCTAGGCAACCTTAACCTGGCTGTGGTGGAAACATACATCCAGTCAGGGATGAAATCCAAGACTCTGGACTCCTCCAGCTCCTGTAACATCCCGATAAAGGGCTGATGATCTGAGCGATACATTAAGTATTATATAGAAAGACTTATGAATATGGAAATGAACATCATCAAAGATTTAAACCTGGAGAAACAAATTGAGAGTTCAAGAAAAATAAGAGAAAAGTGAGCTAATAGTAAAAGTCCTAATAAGTCAAAAAACAAGTAAAATTGTTTCTCTATAAATCACAATATAATGCTTTTGGTTTCAAACAATTGCAAAATCGGGGTAGGATACAGTTGTGCCCAATGCATATTGCACAGAAGTGAAGCAGAGCTGGTGTCCCGGGCAGCAGCAGCAGACCAATCAGCAGAAAAAGCCACGGGAGAAACCAGACAGGCAGACATCTCAGCACCCTCCTCTGTGTCACCTGTCGACACTGTGCTGTAAATAAAGCAAGCTGGACGGCAGAGAAGCCAAAGATCCGGCTCGCCTCACCCCCACCAATAAAGAGGAGCAGGGTGTAAAGAAAAGGTAGTGCGATGATTGTCAGGGTGGAGAGGACGAGTAAGGCGAGTGTCCCCCAGCGGCGCTCCTGACAAGATCCAAGCAGCAGCACCAGAGCTACACTGACCAGCAGAGAGGGCAGCTCATCATGGCTGAGAGCATACAGGAACACATCTGAGGAGGGGAAGAGGTCATGCATATGTTTTGATTTTTACCAATTCTTGTCTGTGAGATCTGAACTCAAAAAAAGGGTTACCTGTGAACCTCGGGAAGTCTCCTCCTGGACCAACACTGAGACTTGCCTGGATGCCCCCAGCATACATCAGTAGCATGAGTGTTACCAATAAAGAGGTCCCCAGGCAGAAGCCAGGACGACCTGATCCAAACCAGAACCGCACTGACGACATACAGTCCAGCATTATTCACGATTATTCACGATCAGCTGTAGTTTCTCTACTCACTTTTTGGAGGGTTTGTTTTTTGCTATAGTGGCATAATATTGGTAAACAAACATATGCTGGTTTGCATAACACAAAAAATAGTTTGTGGCATTAAACTGAACCCATTATTGTCCTCACAGCATTAAGACAGCCCGTCAAAGATCCTTCAAACTGAGGTTAGTGCCTGCAGAAATTCCACCAAAAGACATGAAATATCTAACTAGTACGACAACCTCTAATTTCTTCTGATCGTATATAAAATAGCCATATCCTCAAAGCGTATGTGATGAAATATTTTAAGGAAAAAAAGAATAATCAAAGCATAACTAATAAAGTCCTACAATTATAAACAAATCTCCAGTGTGAAAATATTCAGAAAATGAAAGCAAACTTCCGCGTTACGTCTTTTTCTTCGCAGTAAAACAATAGCATAAAGATGCACTACCCCCACCTGCTGGACATACTGCTAGCAAGCCGTCAACCACCAGCAGGATTTAGATTATTATTTGAATGAACTGTTTTCAAAGACATTTTTTAAGATCTGGCCAAGAGGGCAGAAGAGATGGAAACAAATATATGAAAATTGTTCTATAAAGATTTTTTTAAGTGGCCCACGAGAACTGGTCTAGTTACGATCTATTACCCAGAGTGGGTATAATCACGCCAAGTCATAAGGATACTTGAAAAACAGGTATTTATTTTACTTCTTGTATAACCCCTCCCTAAATCACGTTGACTTCCGAATATTTACAAATCAGCGTTTTTTTATGTTGTTTAAAATTTAAAAGCACAGACTATGCGGCTATTATTGTAAACGTACGTGTCGATTTGTGTATCTAATCTGTAATGCTCTCGCTACAGCAGCCCCCAAACAGTATCGCGTTATGTCGCGAGATTTCGCGGTTGCCGCGAAGAGAAGTGCGTTTCTGCGGCAGCATTCTTCGTCCATTCGTCTCTTGTAGGCACACTAAAATGGCGTCTGCTTCGGGTGAGTAAAAAAATTGCGACAATTGCTGACTTTTAAAGTAAATGTTGGTTTTCATTGAAACATTAATTTACATGAATGTATCCTAATTGTGAGTATGTTTGCATAGTTTGTCTTTTTAGCCACTTTTCTTCATTGAATAACATGAACTTAGTCGGCTCCGCGTCCGAGGCCTAGACAAGTTAGCTCGTCGAGTCTTTGCGGTATTTACTCCGGATATGTTTTTTCATTTGTGCACACTGCGTTTTTCCGCATATTACCAATTTAAAACGAATCCTGTTTAACGGGTGCGTCGATCTCTGAGTGGTTTCGTTGGCTGTGAAGTAGTGTATAGGTTTAGTGAATGGTCTAGTTGTCTCCGTTTTGAATGGCAACCTAAGAACGGGCCTGTAACGTGCGGCTCGCGCGCTAAGATCTGAAACTATTGTTTCTTGTTTTATTTTTTTAAACTAACCCTTTTTCCCCATTTACAGATTACAGCTCCTACAACCAGACCGGGGCTCAACAGGGGTAAGGTTTTTCAGTTACCTTTATTAAAATGGCTTTGAGA